TATATATATATGTGTGTGTACTTTTGATTTTCCATCCTCAAGACATTTTTAAGAAATGGTTTTGAAATGTTGGCCATTTACTTTTCTTTTCATTTTATATGTGAATAATGTGTTCAGTGTTGTTGCTGTCTGTTTGCAAAATGTTTTAGTTTTCTATTATTATATATTGCATTTTATGCAGCCACTGATGTGTTCTTGAAGTCATCAGTATTCTCATATCCAATTTTCTGTATTTCCGATGTATGACAAATGACTCAGGTTAATGTATTTTACTTTGTAGAGTTTACAAATGAGATGTCAGTACAGTAGTCTCCACCTCAGATCCCACCGCTTACGATCCTGGTTCGCTTAAGATCCCACTGTTTGAAGAAAACAGAATTTTTATTACACAAAAGACACCCCTAAGATTCCTTTCTGAATGGCTACATTCGGCAAAGATCCCGCATTTCATATCATAATTTGCTGAACTAAAACGCGGGCGGGCACAGCTGATCAATCAAGTAACTAAAATTTGCAATCATTGTACTGCCTGTTGCATCACGATTCAGCCACTCTTGTGAGTGTGATCATATTTCCATTGCAAATCTCGATGAAACTTGGTACATTTACCCCAGACGTGATCACACCAAGGTGTGAACTTGTCGACACTTTGGTTTTCCCCAAACATCCCTCTTGCACCTGCACTTTCTACCTGATCTTACATCACAAGCTGGGTTGGTTGGGCTCACATCGACCTGTGAACTCTTCCCTGACCATTGCAGCAGTTGTCTCTACTTCCAAAGTTACTGCTGGATTGACAGACAGACAGAATTTTAATTGGTGCTGTCGTTAACGAGCTGTGGTGCAATCACAACACAATGGTGTTTTAGGACAGAGGCGGGGGAACTCGTTCAGAGATGGAAAGTAGACCAACATTTTGGACAGGTAAATGGAAGGAGCAATACGATCAGCGAAAATGAGGTGCCGTTGTGATTGGTTGTCAAGGTTGACCACCTAGGGGTCACGTCAGCTCATTTCAGAGTAAGGGGAAACATTTTAGCTGTTGGTCTGAACATGAATCACCTTGGATTCTCCCCTTGGTGCATCAGTTAAGATCCTGTTTGCCTAAGATCCCGCATTTTCCTTGCTCCCAAGCTCTGGGATCTTAGGCGGAGACTACTTGTATTTTTAGCTTGTAGCTTTAAATTGGTTACATGTTTTTTTTTTATACAATCATTCCTCCTCTGAAGAAGGGCAATAGTAAGGTGCTTGTGCGGGGTCACAGAACTCAATTTTGAAATTTAAAGTATTCAGAACATAGTTTCTTACATATTTATGTGAAAAAGTGCATGCTGAATTCCCTGCAATCTCAATACAGTATACCTATACAAAGACCAATGTTTCTGGTGAAAACAGTTCTCATTACAATGATTTGATCTGAGCTTTTGAACTAGTATTTGGGTTTATCAATATTGAAATATAATGTTTCCAGTTTTCATTTTTACTCAGGAGAATCTGTATCCTTTTAGTTGGCATTCTTTTTATATGATGAAGTCTTTAATCAATAATATTTTAGGTCTAGATCTGTGAATCACTATTAAATTGTAGAAACCCCAATGTCTATCCAATGAGGGGTTTTGATCCCCTCATTTTTGCTCTGAGAACCTCAAGGAAAAACTGAAAGTTACTCTAAAAAAAAATTTAATTTATAACTTGATCTACATTTTTAAAAACTATTTTGTTTGACTTTGTTGAGAGTTCAAGATTTAATAGCAGGGGGTTCTTTTGTTGGTAGAAGGGAAACAAGACATCCTAATAACTAAAGGGGTAGTACAGAAGTAATTTTAAAAAGTAGCATCCTCCAACCACACGGAGGATCAACCACAAAATCAACTTTTGATGTCATGCTTTCCGATTTTAAATTTGTGACAGGTTGTAATGTCACATAATTCCTGCATTATTGGAGAAAAGAAGTGAATCTTTGAAAGCTGGGTTGTGATGTGATGTGTTTTCAATAGCTTCATAACTGAATCCTCAATAAAAGTAAAGTTGCCCCCCCCCCCCCCTAAATTTCATTCCAAAGGTGCATGACTCAAAGATCGAGGGTTACCATGAGGGTCACAGACTAGTTGAGTTGCAGCAATGTCTTACAGGAACTGGAAAGGAAGAGGGGATTTTTACATTACTGTTGCCAAACGTGTGGTGTCAAAAGTGCTGACAGAATAATTGGATTTTTAGAACTTAAGAAAAATGAAGTCTATTTCAACTTTTAAAATGGGGCATTGTACTTAGAATATGAT